CGGTGGCTGCTCATCAATGGTGAAGCAGCTCGTGCTGCGTCTCCCTCGCCCAGCAGCAGCAGCAGCAGCAACAGCAGCAACAGCAGCAGCAGCAGCAGCAGCAGGAACTAACAACCCGTTGCCCCCCTCCCCATCATCATCATCCTCATCATCATCAACCCGACCACCATCACCATCAGCAACAGCAGCAGCAGCAGCAGCAGCAGCAGCAGCAGCAGCAGGCAGCAGCAGCTACGAGGAGCGTTGTGTAGAGCTGCCGTGGCGCTTCGCCCGCAGCGAGAAACGGCTCCGCCGCTTCGTGTCTTCTCTTTTTGCTGTTGCTGCTGCTGATATACTCAGCCTCAAAACTGAACAAGGTACTGCTGCTGCTGCTGCTGCTGCTGCTGCTGCTGCTGGTAGTGCTGCTGCTGGTAGTGTTGCTGCTGCTGCTGCTGTTAATGCTGCTGCTGGTAGTGCTGCTGCTGCGATAGGTGCTGCTGCTATTGGTGCTGTTGTTGCTGCTGCAAGTGCTGCTGCTGCTGCTGATATTGCTGCTGCTTATCTTGCTGCTGCTGTTGTCGCTGCTGCTGCTGCTGCTGCTATTGCTGCTGCTAAGTTAGTTCCGCTGCTTGTGCAGCGGCTGTCTACAGAGCCACCGCTGCAGCAGCAGCAGCAGCAGCAGCCGTAGCAGCAGGAGCAGCAGCAGCAGCCGTAGCAGCAGGAGCAGCAGCAGCCGCCGCCGCCGCAGCAGCAGCAGCAATGCATGCATGCGCGTTTGTGTTGTGTAGGGTTTTCGCTGCCTCTGCATTGGGACGCACTGAAGACAGGCGGGTGTTACTACTTAGACATACGCGCGCAGCAGCCTGCTGCTGCTGCTGCTGCTGCTCCTGCTGCTGCTCCTGCTGCTGCTGCTGCTGATTCTGCTGCTGCAACTGCGGCCAAGCCGACTGCTGCTGAGGAGACTCCAGCAGCAGCAGCAACAGCAGCAGCAGCAGCAGCAGCAGCAAGATTTCCGCAGGAGCAGCAGAACAGGCCAGAGACAAGGCAGCAGCAGCAGCAGCAACAACAGCAGCCGCAGCAGCAGCAGCAGCGACAGCAACAGCAGCAGCAAGTTCTGCGGCAGTGCTTGAAACGGGAGCCTGACGAACAACAGCAGCAGCTGCAGCAGCAGCAGCAGATGCTGCTGCTGCAGCAGCAGCGGCAGGAGGCGAAGCGTGAAGAACATCAGCAACAGCAGCAGGTGCAACGGCAGCAACAACCGCAA